AAAAGTTTTCTAACGCTTGTTGTTGCAATTCAAGAGACATCGTAGTACTAATGGAAGAAAATGACACGAGAAGGGAAGTGTAAAAATTGTAAATTGATTATTACTAGGAAATATAACGCGTAAGGAAAAAGAATAGCCCTCCCCCAAATTTCAAGATCTTGTTGCGATCACAAGATCAAAGCAACACTTTCAGCCAGTTAGCAGCTTCGCATTTTTGTGTTGCACGTGCAACTTTTGCATCGCACACAGGTTTACTTATTCGGCAAAATATATTTCCTAATGAGTCATGCATAAGACTGCCGTATGATTGGGTCACAAGTTTTACAACAAATTACCCAAATATAGTCTAAAATATGGCGCAATGGATTTACGCCACCGATTACATTGATCGTTTCGCGTTTTATTGTGAAACGGTAACTTTATCTTTTGAATTGTGGGTTCCATGTTCGCTGTTTCTAGCTCTTAAAGCCTCTGTGTTTCGTTCATTAAGACTTGTTCAGTCGCTTATATGTATGATAAAACTGATCGTTTTGAATATTATCTGAAACGCTTTTCAATAACGACTCAAATTTTTTTTTGTCCTCAGCAAGTTCAATTTTTCTAGATTCAATTAATGGATTACGATTATGAAGACTTGTTTCAATATTATGGTCTATGTTTGTTGAAATCTCTGACTCATCTATGGGAAATTCATTCATCTCATTCCAGGGATTATTACCGAATCAATGCTTGCACGGGCTTCACCAAACCAGATCGGTGGACAATCATGTCTTCGTGTTGTTGTTGCATATTGAGGCATGCTTTTATACACTAAGAAAGTGTTGCTCATAAATGCAGGGCACGAGCAATCCAATTACTGGTATCTGTTAAATAATTGTCTTCTGAGCCAATATCCTTATCTAATGCTATTTTCCATTCATTTTTAAATGCTCCCTACCAGGAAGGGAAAAGCTTGATGATTGTTCAATCTTTTCAAGTTACTTATTTGATCGGGAATCAATTCTCTTGTTTAAAAGCAGGATTTGTAGTATCGAATGCCTTCTTTTAAGCAATTTAACATTCATTCATTCATTAAAACTTTGTGAGAAAGGCGTTCACAAATTGGTTCATTATGCGGCCGTTGTTCCAAAACGTGTCCCAGTCCCCAAGTGCTCGGATCACGATCCCAATAGTATACTGAACATAGTCTTCTTTTACTGTTCTGTTTGATAAAAATAGGAACAAACAGGACAGAATCACCTGGATATCTCAACACCAGAGGATTTTCTCTTGACAAATATTCCATAGTAAATTCAACCGTATGACACGTAATGAAAACGCGACGGCATATCATATGTTGATGAAGTTCGATGTTATTGGCTAATCAAATATATTCGATTGCACAACTCGATTCTCTGACTTTACAACCAATCACCATGTTTAACTTTATTACGTGAGGTATTACACAATCGATGTTTTTTTGAGGATAGTAGACGGGGTAAAAGATCTGATTCTAACTATTTTATCCTCGCCAAGAGCATCAAAAGAGCATATACTTTCGAGCCCGCTCTGTGTTTTTTTTTTTTTTTGCAAAGCCTTATCGCTTATCTCTTTGGGGAGAGCTGACTCCTAACCTCATTATTTACCAAGATCTGCGCAACTTGCTTTTGTGATATTTGGTATGATGCTAGGCTTCAAGAGTGTTTTCATGCGTGTATGTGTCACTTTAACTAGGGTTTAAAGCTCTTCTCAAACCCCTGAGACGTTTTTCAAGATTTCGTCCAAAATTATAATAGGCTCGCATGAACGGCTTTTCGATTACTATCTTCGGCGTTAATTAGTTGATTGTACAGTTGAGCAAATTAACCGAATCGACATCATTTTCAATTGCAGGTACCGAACCTGATTTTGTACCGACAGTGTTCTCCTCGAAATTTAAGTCTTCAGTAGACAACTCATTGATTAATTTCTTTAGACTTTGGGGCTGATTATCTTCGCGTAATCTTTTTTTATATGGGGCTGGTTACTTTGGAACTGATTCACGTTGGATAAGGTGCTAGGAAATGGTTGGAAACGCGGAATGACATTACATCCGAGAATGTTATAATTCCATGCTCCTGGTTTTGGCCAGTCGCCAAATGTGGCGAAATTAGCATTGGAGTTCCCCTATTTGGTATGTTGCTAATGGATTTAATCGCATATTAATAGTTTTATTTTCCAAACGAGTACTGAAAGCTTGCGAAAGTAATTCTTTATCAGAAAGGGTTTAGTTGATTTGGTTTTTAACGACTACAAAAGCATTTATTTCTGTTCCGTTTTAACCTAACACATTTCTTGCATCGCGGAAGAATATTGTTATCATAATCACTTACACTGTATAAATAAAATCTATGTCAGAATAACCATTAATAGTATCTAGTACTACAAGCCATCATTTGACGAGCAGCGGGAACAGTATCAAAATTAAGGAAAGTTGGGTCATCATAAACAGAGATTATATTCTTGCTCATCATCTTTTGCTGTGACACTCTATTCTAAGTTGAACAATTAATATGTGGGAAATGTATTCGATTGCACAATGCATGTATCACAATACTTTTCTGCAGAAATCTATGTGCTTTGGGATAAATCCTCACGAATAATTACTGGGACATGATGATATTTTTACCAGTTTATTAATGATAGGAATAATTTAAGAGCGGATTGTTGATCCCATATTTCATAATTTATTTTGATGTGTAATACATTTATAAGTTAGCAAGTAATAAAATAGTTATGAAAGAGGATCTCCTATTTATATTGAGGGAAAAAATAAAAACATGCACTAAAACAATCAGTATTGTGTAGCCAGAGAAGAGGTATTAAAAACAAATAAGCTAAGGCCAGGAACTGCGTACTGGAGCTACCCGACTAAATGTTGGGCTTGGGCCACCCGGCCACGACCATTAAAGACCCACACATGAGTTGTATTTGCGAAATTGGCTAGTTGAGGTAACAGGTGGGTAATTATTAATACCGAAATTGGAAATTGCTCCTCCACCAACATCGGCAACTACATAAGTAGGGTCTACCAACCCGCGGATTTTATCGTGTTCGTTCAAGTATGCATCAAAGTCAGGGCTGATCATATTAAACGCGCAAGCTCCATCATAATTGTCTCCTCTTCCGTCAATCCAAGGACGTCCGGCGAGAAGCTTAATAATCGGCATAAGATCCTTATCATTCCAATGATTAGGTGTTTTTTTTGACAGATCTTTTACAGGTTCCAACAGAAGTTTACCTGAAAGTATAAAGTGATAAGTTTAAACATGAAAAATTTGGTTATAGAATATTAGAGATAAAAGGGTTTGGTGTTACTGTACGAAAAAAATCTGCGAAATCTGAGACTATTCTATTAGCAGGCACTAAACTTTCTCTTACAGCTTTGAATCACAACTTATTACAACTGCAACAGCTGCAAAGAATTTATGTAAGTACCAGCTGTAGTCCTAAATTCGTTGTCAATAATGAGGGTTAGAGTTAGGGTAGGTTGCGAGAGCGTTCAAGTGGATTCTTTTACAAGTTGCATTTTGGAAATATTTGTTGAATATTGCTATTACATGTGACTAAATCTGATTACGTATTATTCTTGGTTGTGGGCTATTAGTGATTGATGACGAAAATTGATTTTCGTCTTTTTTTATCGGTTTTCCGAAATATCGGGTTTGCGAATAAAATATCGAAACCGACATTTGATTGGTTGCGGAAACAATTACATATAGTAATTTAAAAAAATCTCGCTAATGCTAAAAGTTAATATTGGAATTCATAGAACTGTGAATATCATATAATTTTATTATTATTATGTGCCACCGTTAATAAAATTGTCAATTTGTGATTGACTTATTATTATTCTATCCGTTTGATAGCGCGAAAATTTCTGATTTCAACGAACGCAGAACTCATAATGCCTTCTTATTCAAAGACGAAGCCACTGGGCGGATCATTGACAAATCGCATTAGTTGTTCACACTTTTTTAATAAAATTATAAGCTGTGGTTTATATTCCTTATCACTTTCTTATTCGTCTTCTTCGTCTTCTTTGACGTTCTGTACGGTTGGGTTGGTTACAATAATATGCTCACTTTTGCGTTTACGGCGTTGTATATTGTATAATCTCTAATTAATTAGTTATAATATCGATATTAAATGATAACTGATATTATGTAACAGATAAAACTTTGCTATTGGTTAGTGTTTATTGAGCTTAAATTCTTATTATTATATGAATAATATTACTGCGCAATGTTATATGAAATATCGGTTTTCCGAGCTTCGACTGTACTTTTTTTATACAAACACTAAAAGTCTTTAGGCAGTTCTGCCTGGTTAAGGTCAATATACATAGTTTTAAATAGCAAATTTAATATTTTGTATTAATTTTTCACCCACACATTGACAACACTTACGTTTAACAAACGCGTAAACTATATGAGCATTGGATTCTTGATTGCATGTTATTACGCTTATAATTGACCAATTTCAATACATGTATTGTTATCGAATTTATCAGGTTTGCGAAATCTATATCAGTTTTCCGCATATCACATATTAATATTAATGTTATATCTGTATTCATGTACAATAATAATAATAACGACTTTTTATGAAAAGTAAAATATAGGTTGATGGACAGAAATAATAACTTAAAATATTGAAATACGTGTAGTAACTACTTTTATGATTAATTTTGAATGTCAGCACAAGGGACCGCCCTGCTAAATATTCCAAGTCTTTTCTGGATCCTTCCAAACCCTCCTGCCCCAGTCATAGTAATAGTTTGTAGTTTGTTGGGGTTAGTTTTGTAGAGTTCAATTTGTTGTGTGCCCTGGGCTAGTTTTGGCTCATCTTTTTTGTGCCCTAACAAACTACTAATATAAAAAATAAATAAATTCAAGATTGCTGCGTTCTTACTCATTAATAATAGGCCGGCTCCCCCAACGAAAAATAATATTAATGTCGTGGCCGTTCCCCGGTCGAATCGAAGGTCTCCCCCCGTCAAAAAAATATTATTATTGTGGCTGCCCGGGAATAATATTATTATTAATGTTGTGGTTGCCCCCCCCCCCGTGTTTTTGTTGATTCTTGCTGCGACTTCATGGACGGCTTGTTCTGTAATTTCCGAAAACAAGTATACAAGTATTTGCCTTAAAGTTTCATGACACCACGCGCTATACGTCGCCTCTGTTGCCACCGCAGGGGGTGCATGTCGTAGTAGTCGTAGTAGTTGGCGTAGTTGTAGTAATAATTGTGGTCGTAGTCGTAGTTGTTGCGGCGTCAGAGTAGTCGTAGTAGTTGGTGTAGTTGTAGTAATAATTGTGGTCGTAATCGCAGTTGTTGCGGTGTCGGAGTAGTCTGAGTAGTCGGAAGTCGGAGTAGCAGTTGGAGTAGTTGTGGTCGTAATCGCAGTCGTTGCGGTGGCGGTTGTTGTTGTCGTTGTTGTTGTTGTTTGTGTTAAGCATCGGAATTTTATTAAACGACATTTTTGAGAAGAGAAGAGATTTGCTCTCTTTTTATGCGCGTAATTTGAAAAAAATTTGGAAGAAATTACTGGTCAATGACTTGGGTTATGATCATGTGTTACTTTAATTTATATTATTTGTGGTGACACATGATTGACACATGGTAGATAATCTATGTGATTTCTGTGAGATTAAGATAGCACGGTAGACTTTTGTTAATAGAGATTATTTGCAGTAATATGAGAGTAACAAGACTTTCGCAAAAGAAGATTTTTATTAATTAGTGACAAATTCGTATTCGTTCATTAGCAAGCGGATGGGAAAGCTATGGGCGAGGAAAATTTTTCGCGCATAATTTCGTACTACATAGAAGATGGCGATGCTGCGATTTTCTTTAGAAACCGAAGTGTATATTCAACGGGGTGCTCGACTGCCGGATAATATGCATCGTAAACATTAATCTTTATTCGTTTATGACAAAGCTTCAGTTTGTAAAATAACTGCTTATATGGGATTGAACTTGGAGTCAAAGATTGATTGACATATTTTGGGGGGTTGACCTTGTATCACTATCACAAGCATAAAATATAAAATTTGATCGACAAGGCATCGATATATCATTTGTCACATTAATGTAGTCCTAAGGTCGAGACGTAGAAATGAATAGTTGGTTACGAGCGTTATCGCAAAATCCAACATCGTAGAAGATCATGTCAGTACGTTTACATTTACATAAATATTAATATTTCGAGTTTTTGTCCTTATTATTATGTAAAAGATTCTATTGCCGCTTACAAAATGTGATTTTTACGAGTGTATTATGTATAGCACTATTAACTCTCACGGAGGTGTATTATGATTTGTTATAATTATTATTATGGCTATACTTCAAGAATGCGAACACGGTTTTTATTTTTGACGAAACAGAATTTTTGGGGGGCTACATACTACAGGAGCATATTAATATATATTACTTGCTAGGTCAAGGCATAATAGTTGGCGCAAATGTGACGTTCACCGCCGTAAAACCTAACACAGGATATGTTGCCGGGTCAACAGATTGTTTTATCTAAAAGAACTCTTATTTCATACAAACGCGAAAAGTAATTCTGTAATTTGTGTAGGGTTTGATTGTGATACCTTAATTATGCAGGAAAATTCCAACCCCTAACTTTACACATCGAGATGCGGAAATGATCGACAAAATATTTTGGACCCTATCGAATTTTGACCAATATAAATAGTAATTTTTTTATAATATGAATTTATTAATATTAATATTAATACATACTAGTACTAGTCACTAAACCTTTTTTTGACTTGACAATATTCATCCTGTTTCAAAAAAGACAATGTACAAGTTCTCAGTTACATACCGTTGTTATGTAGATATTAATATTATTTCTAGCACTTGTGTTAAATTAATTTGTGGGATAGAGCATCTTCATGTAAGAAATGCAGACCGCTCAGATGGTTGTTGGTGACACGAAAGAAATGTTAAAAACGCGAGCTGAAAAGACATAATAATAATAGACTATACTGTTGTAATCGTGTATGCTAGTTTTGTGCTACTTGTGCCCAACTTCAAAGTGTGTTGAATCTCGGGTCCCTGCAAAAAGGTGATACACTTTTCTCAGAACCACATGATCCTTTCGATAAAATTGGCGCCGTCTTTCTCTTTCTTTTTGTTTTACGCAAATAACTTGGACTGTCCAGATCGATCAATGATCATCATTACAAGTGTTACAGTGTCGGGGTAAGTATTTCAAAGCTATATCTCTTTATTAGAACCATTTTTAACTTGCGAGCATATTATAATTTCATAGAGGTAATCCTATATATATTAACCCTGTTTTGGTTATTTATCCCATTCTGGTATGATAAGGTGAGCATTAAAATTAACAAGTTTGATAACTTATGAATATCACCATTGCGTCCTTTTCAATTATAACTCATTTCTCAGCCACCGAATAAGAAGTGGTGGGGAGGGGAGCATGATCTTAAAAAGTTAGCTAATACTTTTTTCTTGATATCCACGCGAAAAATCTCAGGATGCAAAAAAAAGAATGAGCTGTGTGTCGCAGCGCACCATTTTAAGCGGGAAAAATAACTCGATCTCATTTTGAACCTTACGTCAGAAATATTTCTCCCACAAAGTTGGACAAAAACTTACTTTACGGTGAACAAACTCGAAAAAAGTTTGGATATTTCGATATTTACAGTGAAATGCATAAGTAATTGACCTCCGTAATTTTGGCAAAATTTACTTACAAACACGATCATCTCAGCTGGTCACATATTAATATTGCCTGCGAATTTTAAATATTTAATATTAATATTAAATATTTGTCTCTAAAACATTTCCATCCGCATATTTCTGTTTGCCAAATCTACCGTGTCTGAATATCGTGCATATATTTAACGTTTAACGTTTTGGGTGTGAGCTTGTTTTGGAAATTTCGATGTTACACTAGTCTATTGATGAACTACAATAAATAGATCAAAAATATTGGACACCTCAATCTCTCACACAAAATGTCAACGGCATCGACAAAAACCACAGAACAGAAGCCGGCGACCGTTAATAATACTCAGCCAGAGAATGCCAAACTCGTACAAAACAACGTAGCATCAGAATCCGAATCAGCCTTTTGGAAGAATGACTGGATACGAGCACAGAATACATTATCATCTATTCGACGCTCACTGTCGTCGTTCCCATCTCCTCCTCTCCGTATACTGCGCGTTAGTCAATTGGATGCTGATTTATTGGACACAGAGTTGTTTGCAATGCTTAAGGAACAATTATGGCAAGCGTTCTCACTGCTTGATGTAGGCATATTCTTACAATACGAAAAATGCAGTTGATTCTTTCGATCGTTTATAGTTTCACCATTTGATTATGTGATGAATTTCTCTGCTACTTTATGTGTATCAGCCCTATTATAAGAGATATGAACTGGAACTAATGGCAATAATACAATTTATTCTCTATCGGTTTTCGATTTACGAAACTGGAGCTAGCTTTGGAGCCCAGCTACAGAATTTGAAATATCGGAACGAGAAAATGCACAATGGAGGACGTGAGTTTTTTCATTAATGAATCGCGTTTCTTAAGGTTCGTCTACTCTACTACTAGTACATTTTGTTTGTCTTTCAGTCCAATCGACAGCAAATGATGCGCCACTATCAAAAATGCAAAGAATGCTGTTCGGATTGTTTACAATCGGTGGACAGTATGTTTGGGCGAAAGTCAATAGACTAGTCACGGCCTTTTCCTGGGGCGATTTAGCTGAGGTCTGTAATTTAATTTTGTAATGAGCAGACAAGTATTTAGCATACTCTTGTCCTCATACGATTTAAATTATTTATTCGATTGCAAAATCAAAGAATGATCCACGCAAGATCTTCTGGACATCATTACAAAAGTTGGAACACCTGTATTACACATCGGTCTTGATTAACTTTCTGGTCTTCTTGTATGACGGCCGGTAAGCGCAGAGGCGAGAATCGTTACAATCTCTTTATCTCAAGTATATGGCACTCATTGCTTTAGTCATTTATCCCAGTTATCGCACTCTAGTTGAACGCATGCTGTCAATGCGTTTAGTTTATGCTCGACGGGTTATGAACAGACAAATTAGTTTCGAATTCCTAAATAGACAATTAATATGGCATACTTTCACGGTGCGTGACACTACTTATTTATCAGTCTTGAACATAACTTTAACATTTTAAATATCAATTTCAGGAATTTCTTCTCTTCCTGGTACCGCTTATAAACCTCCGTAAACTCAAAAACAAAATCACTCATACTCTAATTCCCGAGTCATACATAAAATCGCATACGCTTGCATTCCTTCCTTCCCATATTTGCGCCATATGTCATGAGAATCAGTCGAGTTATGCTGCGTCGGCTGGTGTTTCGATCTCGAGTAGTTCCACAAAGGTTAACAATCCTTACGAGACAAATTGTGGACATGTATATTGTTATTATTGCATAAAAAGTAAGTTAATTCTGGACGGCGGTATGTGGAGATGCTTAAGGTGTGGTGAGGAAGTTAACGAAATCCGGAGGTTTGATAACAAAGTGGTAGAGATGGAAGTGGAAGAAGAAGAGGAGCGTGTTGATGATACTAGCCAGGAGAAAGATTACCAGAGCACGGACAATGAATAACAAAGCGAGAGGGACTTTTGAAAGCAAATTAATGCAATTCCACGACAGAAGATTACACATTTTGCTTTTACCAGGAAAAAAAACACCCTGTATAATGTATAGACTTTCTAAGCGTACGAAAAATAGTTGATTCATTTATAATGTATAGATATTATTGTGCAAAAAAAGTTCGACGCTCGAAAACTAGCATGCATCAAATATGTGCTTTCGCGTGATTCGACGTAACGTTCATTTGAAACATTCCGGCAGTTAATTGGATCGCGAATATTAGGCAGAACACCATCCCCTTAGTGACCCGTCATCAAATCCAGCAACAAATGTATTTCCTTCAGGATTCCAGGATATGCTCCAGACCTATAGACAAAGCATGTGTTAACAATGTGAAAATCAGTTAAATACCATTGATTCTTTTGTAATTACCGGGTCTTCATTGTCATTTGCGAGTGTGCAAACACATGCGCGAGCCCCCAAATCCCATAGTTTAACGTGACCCTCGCAACCCCTGTCAAAAAAGTAGAGTATATTTCTTGTGTTCTAGTACAGAATCAGCAGCTAAATTTATGACAGTAATCCAGCTCACCCAGTCGCTACAAATCCAGATTCTTTATGAGACGCGGCAACGGAGACAACCCAATCTTCATGCTTTAACTTTGCTATTCGATTTCCTTGATTACTGTAATTCCGATTATTTATGGATAAGCAAGCAGGATGTATTTGATAAAATGACACAATAATCCCAACTTTATATTACACATCGTAAATATTCATTGTCTTATCGTCCGATCCAGAGATTAGCAATGAAGAATCATGCGAGAAATCGACCGATCGTATGCAGCCTGCATGACCTATCAAAAAGCTCAGATATGTTGCTTTGATAGACATTCGTAATGCCAAAAAAGCGTACTCGCTTACCTGTAAACTCGTGAACCTTTTTGCCAGTTTCCGTATCTAGCACATGTATCAGAGCATTCTCGGTGCTAACAGCAATAAATTTGCCATTAGGACTCTACGATGAGTGTTTCTGGTGATCAAGGAGAGATACTCGGATCATGTACGTATTTCAAATTTCCTAGGCAAAGGATACAAAACGAAGGCACATTGGGAAGTTTTTCCTGTTCTCGGTTTCCTTTGTATCGTATTCAGTATACACTTCATAATCTTCGGTTTTCCTGAGCGAGACCTTTCCAAAAGGATTGGCTGTGACATAATATTTTCCATCCGGGGAGTATTGGCCAGTCCATATTTTCACTAAATGATCATTCGTTCGCGTTTTAGTGGAATATGTTTGTATGAAAGACTTCTATCTCTTTGCAAAAACTAGGCGCCGTTTTACTTGCGTGGGTCAGTAGTCACTTTCTTCATACATGAGCCATCGCTCAAATCCCAGATCCTAATTGTGGAATCAATAGATGTCGAAGCAGCCACTAAAATCGTATAAAAAACGTTGAGCTAGACGTTGTAGTTGAAGTTCAAATATTGTTAAGTAAATTGCCTTACAATCTCCATCTGGATGAACATCGACGGACAAAATACCCAATGAATGGTCGTCCAATTCGTGTTTAAGTTCGCCCGTCTCAGCATCCCTGATCGAATATTTTAGTATACTTATTCATAAACCGAGCACATGAATTACAGTATTAGAGCTCTTTCTCAGTAATCTGGTTAGTCAGCTAACCATATCTTAACCTGCGTATCGAGAGATCCCGTTACTAAGACATTTCCGATAGGCGAGAATTTTACACTGTATATAGCATCCTCGTGAGCTATATCAATAAGGCATTTGTTAGACCTGTCGGTTTATAGCAACAATTGATAGTAATAGAACAAACCTTCTTTGGTTTCCAAGCGCGAATAAAATTGTATACTCTATTGTGGCCAAATATTGACTTAGACAGGCAGGTTTACCACAACAAAAAGACAATAAAATAATCCTCTCTCACCATATCGTCACGTCAATTCTTTGTGTTCAGCTAATGCAACTGATGACTATTAAACGAAAAACACGAGCTGATTGGATGATTGCTTGTTAGTAAAATATGAAATGCTGATCTTTTCTAATAACAGTAACCAATACACACTTTTAACGAACACGAAGATGGTTTATGACGAAGTATTTTTATGGAACCAGTTCACTCTTAACAAAATCATTTCGGATAAACGAAGATTTATATATATAACGATATAACGAAGTTTTCAAAAATCCGTATGTTGTAAAACCATTCACTTAGGCGAATTTATTTGTATAACTAAGTTCGTTATACAATTAACTAATCAGAATGTTTTCTCTCCGTTACTCCTATCAAAGGCTTTCTCTTGCTTCGTTATATTTCTTTCTTCTAAAATAATATCGAAGATGCATTCCAAAAAACGTTCTCTCATTAAAGATAAAGAAACATTCATGTCAAAAAAAAACCAAAAACGAATAACGCTTACAATTGCTCAAAAAAAAGGAACTATGTCAGAAGAAAGAGTGTAATCCACGTTTGAGAAATATTGAAATAACAAATAAATATGGCATTGAGAAATCTACTGTTAGTGAAGTTTTGAAAGCGAAAGTAACGATGCCGATCAGGGTACAATAGTGTGCCTCTCGAGCAACGTAATAATAGAATAATAGTGATTGGTAAATGACTGATTACTGCATCTGGTAATTTTAAAAAAGTTGCATGTTTGTCTTATTTGTTGGTTAAAACACAATAGTAATATTGGTAAGTCACCAGCTATATTCTCAATATTTCCTTTTAATGTTTGGGTAGACTTTTTATCATATTCTCGACAAAACTAAATCACAGCTAGTCCAAATATTGGTGTTGGACAGCATTAACAAAGCTGGCAATGTCTTGTGTCAATTGAGCTGTATATTTGTTAGACATGGTCATCAATCCTAAATTTGAACATAAAACGGCCTTGTCAAACAAAAGTCTGGATGGAAACTTTTACAAAACATGAACATAATAGTAATGCCCGGTTACGACATGCGCGGGCCTATTGTTAACGAGTTTAACATGCAGGCAAAATTGACACAACTAACCGACAACTGGATCTTCGTGGTTCATTCCTGGGTACTGACATAGTCTCACACCCTCAATTTTGAGATCCAAGAGAACTTGGTAAAATTGCAAGGTTGCTTCAACAGGCACAGTATAGTCCTTTAAACAATGCGTAGTCAAGGTCTGTAATTACCAATCTTCAATACATGTTAATATCAATGTAATAAAGAACATCTACCTTATCACCATGAACCAGTAAAATCTTCTTTGGTAATGCCTTTTTTAAGTTTTCAATATTGACACAATTCTCAGACAAAGCAGTCTTAAGAA